GGAACTAGATTTTTAGTTTCTCATTTCCTGGTGCTTGAAGTTTCTCCTTTCCTGAGGCTTGGGGGTGTAAGCCTGAAGGGCTAGGGTCTTTCATTGAACTAGTTTTAGATGTTACTAGGCAATCTAAAACTTGTTCAAGATTTCCAGGAAGTTTGAAAACAGATTGTAGCCTCCCATTCCACAACTGCTATCATGTGACTTTTTGTTTGTGCCGGAAAAAAAATAGTGAAGCCGAAGCTGCTACCATAATCCTACTGTATTTTCCCCAAGCCAGAGTAGGAGAGCAAGGTAGGGAAGGCAGAGGTCCATCGTAACTGTTAGTCGTTGCTGGATTCTAAAATTGTTAAGCAACAAAGCTGACCAATTCTAAACCAGGTTAAAGACCATCGTGAAAGGGGGTGACGTGTTCAGAAGGTTCTACCTCAAATTTGAAAACAATGCTCTAGGTGAGGCTCGAACTCACAACCTCGGCATCGCTCTCGCGCACACACTGCTGTATAAGTACCGCGCGCTAACCGATTGCGCCACTGGAGCATCCGCAGTACACTTCCGGACACTCATTACACGGCCTACACGGGATAGTCGGCGTTTGCTAGACCACGGTGTGGATGCACACCGGCCTCGCTCTCCCCGCTCCTCCCCCAGTCCCCGGCGTCTGGTGCTTCTGCAGGCGCGCTGGGTTCAACCGTGGATGCGGTGACTGCGACTCTGAAGCTGAGGCGGAAGGACGGTGCGGCCCCGAGAGCTGCGAATCCTCAGGCCGTCCCGCCGAGCGGCTAGCACAGCCCTCAAGACCCCAGTAGGAGGAGGCTGCTATCGGCTCGGCCCCAAAGTCATTTTCCGTCCTCCACCTTGCCGTGGACGCTCCCCGGGAGACGCAGATCCCCGGCGGCAAACGGGATTCCCCAAAGCTGCGTTTTCCCTCCTGCCTCGGTTCGGGCAAACAAATGCTGGAGAAACCAAAGGATTTAGTTCCAGAGAGAAAAGGACGTTCCTGGGGCCTTGCCTTGTGTTGTGTGGTCCCCACACAGGTTCTGCGAGGGAACAAGACTCCTGTGTTCCTCAGGCGACTCCGTGGAAGTCTTGAGAGTTGAAATGAGGGAAAACATCCCGGGACTGGGTCTGAAATTCTGCATGTCTCCGTGCAAAACTGAACTAGATATTTGAGAAACATCTGTACTAAAGATCCCATAGTAAAGCATGTTTTGATATAGGGGGAATAGAGAAAGGGTATTTCTAGACTCTTTACACACAGCGTGGGTCTTTTTGGTGAGAGATTTGTTAGGTAGCTAGATGCATTCACGTGCTTAGAAGCTGTTGTAATGGACCCCTACCTCATAACCTGCTTTGAACCCCACCTCCCATTTCTCATTTCTCCAGTAGCCCTGAAGGGAAGCCTCACAGTTCTCTTGTGGTTTAAAGAGCTGTATGAAAAGGGGGAGGATTTAGATCTTGATTGAGGCCCGTAAGAAGATAGCTTCTTCCCCGCGGTCAAAAGAAGAGCCTGAGTTCAACCTCTGGCCTAAGGATGCCCTGAGCAGTGTCCCCCAC